ATAGATACTACATGTAGACCTTTCTCAGATTTGTTCATTTCGTGATGATATCTTCAATTCTCTAATTTTGGTGAATATTTTAGTCATTTTTGGTAGAAAGTGATATTTTCGACTTCTTGTTAAAAACTGTAAGTCCGATTGCTTTGATACTATACATATTGTTCATTTTCTGATGATGTCTTCAGTTCTTTAATTGAAATGTGCATTTCTAACAGCGGAGCTATCTCAGCCGATAGGCTGCTTGTTTTAATTTATAATCAGTATATATAATTAAAGAAATACAAACACCAAATTAGGCTCTATTTAGTTCCCTTTAAGCAATTTGTGCTCTTGGCAAAATCAATTTCAGCATCAGTTGTATTATTTATTTTTCAGGATATTGGTAAAATGTTATATAATAAATTTTTATTTTTCTTAGCTTCACTGTTGACTTTGTTGAGTGGAGCTTATCATATGAATGATTGTCTGGTGTCATCGTTTGTGTCAACTTTTTACTCTTTTGACTTCTTGAAAACTACAAATATGATTGCTCTGATACTTGGTGTATATGTATCTCGCGTAGATCTCACTTAGATCTCATGATGATATCTTTAATTCTCTAATTTTCACCCTCTTCTTGAAAACCACAAGCCTGATTACTATTATATTATACAAATAGGTACCTCAGGTGGACCTCTCTCAGATTGTTGATTTCATGATAAAATCTTTAATTCTATAATTTAGATGAATATTTTTGTCATGTTTGGTAAAAATTGATATTTTTGATTTCTTGTTGAAAGCCATAAAGCTGATTACTTTGATACTACATATATAGGTACTACATGTGGACCTCTCTCAGATTTGTTCATTTTGTAATGATATCTTTAATTCTCTAATTTTGGTGAATATTTTTGTCATTTTTGGTAAAAAGTGATATTTTCAACTTCTTGTTAAAAACCACAAGTCCAATTGCTTTGATATTACATATTATAGGTACTACATGTGGACCTCTCTCAGATTTGTTCATTTCATGATGATATCTTCAATTCTCTAATTTTGATCAATATTTTTGTAATTTTTAGTAAAAAGTGATATTTTCCACTTCTTGTTGAAAACCGCAAGTCTGATTGTTTTGATACTATACA